AATTACATTTAAAACAGTTAAACAGTTAAAAATTGACAAAATCACCATCAGTCAAATGCAAAAAGCCGCACTGCTTGGATCTGCACGCATATTCCGAAAATACGTTACGACGTCCTAGGCCCCTGGGTGGGGCCCGACTAGTAACCAATGCCAAATCCGGCGAAACAACTGGCCGCTGTGATACAATTGTATTATAATAATAATAATAATAAACAGAATGATTATCAACAACACATACACCACCATTGTACACCACCCTAGACTACTGTGTAAAGACCTAGTGGTTCTCTCTAAAATCCATCAGATGTTCATCAGGGTAAAAACTATTCCTATCTCAGGAAGACAGGCACTTCAACAGAGAAGGCATGCTTCTAGGTTCTGATAGATAGCCGTACTTGATCAAAGGAAGCCGCAGCAACTCTGTGGACTGAATTAGAGAGGCTATACTATGGAAATTAGACCAAACTCTAGGCCACATAGGATTTTATAGGTCATAACTAGGGCCTTGAATCTAACTGGAAGGAAACCAGAACCAGTGCAGATCATGAAACGAGGATAACACATAGCATACCAACACACTCCATTCTTAGAAGCCTTGTAGCCAGCAATCAGACTGAGGGAATTATATGCAATGCTGTTCTGGACCTGTAAGCTGCCTAAATGAGAGAAGTAAGCTTCATTGGCAAAAGAGCAAGGGAACAGCATAATAAGTAAGCAAGCTCCATGGAAGAAATAATACAATTAGCAAGGCACAAAAAGTTCTATATCTAGCACTCAATCTTTTGGCCTAATTAAATATCCCCATTTACTTATTAGTCTTGAAAGAAAGTAAAGTTAGCGGGAGGTCATGGATTTTCTTTCATTCCCCCCCCCCCTCTTTTTCTTTTTCTTGGAAGAACTTCAGAAGTTGACAACTAAGGTAATTTGGGATGTGCCAGCCAGAAGATAGATATTTTGCTCAATGGAGCCGTGTAACTTGTATCACTTTTGGCTCCTCTGCTTTATTAATTACTTCTTACCTGACACAGTAGAAGTCTTGTCCAATAAATTTTCCAGTCACACTGTTTAGCTGCACTGTTTGGAAGTGTACTTTCTCATGATTGATTTGGAGTCTAATGTAATACCTCATTAATTCTCTCTGAACTGTTGTGCATATTTATTATAGTTTTGAGTAAACAGAAATGTGTTTAAATTGCATAATTACTTATGCAATTGTCCAAGATGGCTTGGAAGCAACCCAGGTTTAAAGAAACAGGGCTTTGAGTCATTATTGCAAGTAGCTTTGCACCTGGCCCATGTTCAACAAACCTAAATTAGGGGATTTTTGCCATTGCCATTAATGCCATGCAATTCTTTTGCTTATGCCATCTGAATCATTCTATTAGTTTTCTATGGAACAGGAGGGCATTTTTGTTATATTTTCAGTCTTACTTTTTTACCACACAGTGTAGTTGACATAAATTGAATTGGTCTATAGGTAATCCAGTCCACTATAACAAATGGAGCCCCTTATATAAATCTTAACATTTAATAGCAATAGCACTTAGACTTAGATATCACTTCATAGCGCTTTACAGCCCTCTCTAAGCAGTTTATAGAGTCAGCATATTGCCACCAACAAATGATTGTTTGCTCAAACCAGACTTCCTTAAAATAGGAATGAAAGTGCAGCTTAATAATGAATATAACATAAAATGTACCATGTGGTACACTCAGAAGAAACAAGTTGATGCTTTAATCAAACTGTGAAAAATGATGTGATTACCTCTTATTCTAATTTGAAACATTAACTGTTTTTGCATTCTTGAATTATCAAAATGCCCATTATTATATTGTACTAGCTCAACTTGAAAGGCTGACTAGGTCTCCTCCTCCTCTCCTCATCCCCCTCCTCCCCCCTCCTCCTTTTCCTGTAATAGGCCAAAATAAAATAAAAGCTAAGAATACAGAATCCAATATCCAGTAAAACTATTTGTGCCTAAAACTAAATGTATCAAGAGGTCAGTCAAATCCTGTAACTTCCGATTGTCGTTGCAGTGGCACAAATTTTGACTGTTGTTGGAAAATTCTTAATCCTGCTCATTAAAAAGGTAGCACAGTATTTCCATGTAAGATAAATCTGGGCATGATAAAAGGGAAGATGGGATGGCTAGTTAATATTGTGTCTTTTTCTCTTCCCCCAGTGAATAAATTAATACAATTAATACACTTGGGATAGGCTAAACCAGCTTTTGCCAGCCTGACACCTCCAAACACGCCATCTTTTTATATAAACATTCTGGAGTAATATTCTTAACTTCACTGGAAAGAATTAGATTATTGAGAACAGACCTAGATTACTCCTAGATCTCCCCTGGATGGGAAAAATAGTGCATGAAATTGAACATTATCAATTGGTCAAGAAATGGAAATATTGAAAAATCAGAATCCTTTCTCACTTGTCATCCTAGTCTGCCTTGGAGATTTGAGAGACAAATTTAGGAAAAGATGAAATTAGAGAAAACTGTAGTAGTTCATCTTAAAATTTATTCTGGAAAAGATTATCTTGGTTTTCTTTTCTTCATTGTATTGGTTCTATTCAACCATGCCAAAATGTTTCTACAGGATTGTTTGCTTTCATGTTTTGGGGTCAATAGTGCAGGAACATGAGAGTGGCTTCTATGGGTTACACTGCCATAATTGCATTTAGAACTTGTGCTAATATTTCAAGTATGATCAACATAGCATAGCTTTGAATATGACTTCTAGTGGATGTGTTCCTATTTACTCCTATTTTCCATATTATGCATAGCAAGCTATTTAAACTTTCTGTTATTTCTCTTAAGCCGATTGTTAAGGGTAGCAGGAGAGAAATATTATAAATGCAGACAAGCCTGAAGTTAGTAAAGTGACAAAATATGTAGATGCCCCATTATAAAACCCACCTTTTGATACTCATATCATAAGATTTCACACAAGTTTATAAGAGATGGAATTTATATCATGTCGCAAATTTCATCACGTATTTGGCTTGTGTAAGTAAATAAGTAACACACGCATTTACAGGTTTGAGTTTGTTTGGTTTAGGAACTTCCTTTTGTTTCCTAATATACACATTGCAACCAAAACATTGTAAAAAGATTTAATAAAGCAGAATTATTACACAACCTTTGGGTAATGAAGACTTATGGACTGTTTGCAAACAGCAAAGGTTGTGGCTCAGTGACTTTCCTTGACAATCTATAAATGCTCATGTTAATAGCTATGGAGTTTTGTTATGACTTAGTGCACACTTGGAAACACCTTACAAGCATCACACATCTGTGATTTTCATTGGGAACTATTATCAAATAATTTAATTCACAGCTGTATTGGTATCACATATGGTTGTCAAATGCTTCAGAAAGTACACAAATAGTTAGATGTATTGTTTTGTTATCATTTTTATGCATGACAGGAGAACATTGTTTGGAAATGGAAAGGTTATGTATGGATGAAAGTACCTAAAATATTTTCTCCTTTTCTTTAGGATCTCTTTGCTCTTGATGTGGAGCCTTATCGGTATAGTGGAGTAAACATGACTGGTTTCAGGATTTTAAATACAGAAAATACCCAGGTGGTGTCCATAATTGAAAAGTGGTCCATGGAAAGGTTGCAAGCTCCTCCAAAACCCGATTCAGGTTTGCTGGATGGATTTATGACGGTATGAACACCAATGAACCTGCACTTGTCAAATATTTGATATGATTTCATATTTTCCTGTTGTGTATCTTGGCTTGCCTAACTCTTCACTAAGATAGAGGTTCTCCTTTATGTCTCAGTTCTGGATCTGAAAAGTAAAGTATAACTGTCCACATTAATATTCCAAGAAATGACTTGAACAGGTTGTTATGTACCTGACCTAATCATATACCCCAGCCATACATTATGAAAATTTGGAGCTCCCATGCTAACACTAATGCTTAAATGAACCATCTTAAAAGGATCTCTATATTCATGCTTCTGGTTTGAAGTTGTATTGATAAATTACTGGCCTTCCCCTTTCTAGTGTTATGCAGTCCTGATGGAATGGCAAATGATCAACATTCTTGCTGTGAATCATGTATTGTTATGTATGAGACAAATACCTATAAAAGTTTTCTAAATCAATCAATCAATCAATCAAACCAATTGATGTATTCCCAAACACACAGAAATAGTACAGTGCACGTAATAGCTCTATAGGACAGCTAAAAAGAAAACTGTGCTGCCAAATACATCACTTATACAGCAATTCCTGAGTTAATGTGAAGCTAAATGCTAAAATTAGATAGTGAGCATGCTCTGGCAACTCATCTATCTATCTATCTATCTATCTATCTATCTATCTATCTATCTATCTATCTATCTATCTATC